GAGTGGGTGTGGTGGGTGAGGGTGATGTGTGTGTGTGTGGGGGAGGTGTGTGTGTGGGTGGTGGTGGTGGGGTGTGGTGTGGTGGGGAGAGGTGTGTGTGTGTGGTGTGGGGTGTGTGTGGTGGTGGAGGGTGGTGGGGTGGTGTGGTGGTGGTGGTGGAGGGTGGTGGGTGGTGTGTGGTGTAGAGGTGTGGGGTGGTGTGGGTGGTGTGTGGTGGTGGTGGAGGGTGGTGGGGTGGTGGGTGTGGTGGTGATCGTGGGTGATGGTGATGGGTATTGTGGGAAGAATGTCCTAACCAGATGCTCTACATACACCTCAACGATCCTAAAGGTTCAGGCCTCGTGGAGGGGGGTGTTAATGGTGGATTGATTGCTTCATTAGAATTCAAATATGTTATAAGGAATTCACCCAAGTTCATGAGGGAAATATCAGAAGGAGCAGACTGCAGTGGCTGGCTGGTGGCCAGACACACAGGCTGCTGGTGGCCAGACACACAGGCTCAGTTGGTGGCCACACACAGGTCAGCTGGTGGCCAGACACACAGGTCAGCTAGGAGCCAGACACACACGTCAGCTGGGTGGCCAGACACAGGAAAGCCGCTGGTGGCCACACACAGGCCAGCTGGGTGGCCAGACACACAGGTCAGCTGGTGGCCAGACACAGGTCAGTTGGTGGCCACACACAGGTCAGCTGGTGGTCAGACACACAGGTCAGCTGGTGGCCAGACACAGGTCAGTTGGTGGCCACACACAGGTCAGCTGGTGGCCAGACACACAGGTCAGCTGGTGGCCAGACACAGGTCAGTTGGTGGCCACACACAGGTCAGCTGGTGGTCAGACACAGGTCAGTTGGTGGCCACACACAGGTCAGCTGGTGGCCAGACACAGGTCAGTTGGTGGCCACACACAGGTCAGCTGGTTCATTCACAGTCACATCAGCTGAAACTTGGTACTGTTGGTCGTTTAGCCCTTCACTAATGACAACAGCTTTGTTGTAGTGTTCCCTTTATTCTTCGTTAATGAAACAACAGTGGGAGAGCATTAGTATCATGTCACACTCACTACAATGTCCCTGATAACAAATTACCTAAAAGCCTCCGCAAGATTAATTGTCAATAAATGAAAACACACACACACACACACACACACACACACACACACAAAATTATTTTGTACACAAACAAATTAAATGCTACTGTGATGTACGTACATGTTGTTTTCTATTTGATTTTGATGTGATTTATGTGAGTTATTGATGAGCGTAACCTTGTATGTTGACAGTTCAGCGCACACTGTGTATACCCGTGCGGATGTGGCACTGTGCCGGTGTGCCGCCCGGGAGTGCCAACGGTGCGGGACGGGTGTGGTTGCTGCTGGCAGTGTGCAGGACAGGCTGGGGAGCTCTGCGACGGTGCCACCATCTGCGACGTCTCCAAGAACCTCACCTGCATCTACGACACCACCCAAGATCTTACTGGCACCTGCCAAGGTGAGTCTTAATGTGTTACTGTCTACCATCACCTTTCTCTCACCTGCCAAGATTTATGGCAGTGCATCCAGTTCACTATGACCCAGCTGACTCTTGCTAAGGTCAAGGTTCATACCATTGTCCGGTACGTAACATTATTAACATGTCATATTTTTCTGACCTACTAGTTTCCCGTTCATCACTCGCATGACACCCTCCATTTCCGCAGTTTGTTTACAGAAACAAATCCTTCATTCAGAACTGATGTGTTTATCCTAAATCCCGGACAAATGCCAAAATCTCTGGAGCTAAATTTCATTCTAATAAACAATGAAAAAAAAATCCACATAAAAAACACCGTCCATGGTTCTCGAGACTTCATAATGGTGGATAAATGTTTCCCTCAAAATTTTATTCCGAACTATTTGTTTCACTAATGAAAAAAATAATAAAACAGAGTAAACCTAGGAGGTTCGTTGCCCCGAGATACAGGTCATTAAGGCTCTGCTTCTGTAACTGATTGTCGGCCGGTGTACCAAACTTGAGTCATTACCTCATAGTTATAAGGTTAAGGGTCAGACCACAGCCACCTTGACCACAGCCTTGATAAATGTGAGGCTCGTGTGTGTGTGTGTGTGTGTGTGTGTGTGTGTGTGCACCTTCCGTGTTAGACTGTGGTACCATAGTTTGTATTGTTATATAATATATCATCTCCTTTGGTATGATGTACCATTCCTTGGCTATGCTCTGGCAACGATGACTTTCTTATGCTGTCAAACATTAATCAACTGTGTTATAAATATCATGTTCTATATTTTTATCTAACATGACAGAATGATTAATATGTTATGATAGTTGTTATATGCAGCTGGCGTGTGTTGTACTGTGTTAACAAGGTGTGTTGGTCACCCACAGAGGTACAGCCAGCCAAGTGTACCGTCAACAACCGCACCTACGACGACGGTGAGAACTTTACCCTGGACTGTCGCACACAGTGTACCTGTCAGGTGAGTCCTCCCCTTGTTGTGTCTGTCTGTCCGTCTGTCAGTCTCTTCACTAAAACAATCTCACAACAGAACCACGCAGCAGATGACTAAATAATACCACAGGAAATGACTAACAAATAAAAACACAATCTCCCATTAAAACATTTCCACCTGCAGTAATTACCTTCACAATGAGTTTATTATTTTGGGTGACTGGAATAATCAACAGTGGCGCCTCTGTCTTCCGGCCCTCACTCTCAAGATAAAGAAAGAAGGATGGAAACAAAGACTGAATGAAAGAGTAAATGAGTGAATGAAAAATGAATGAAAAAAATACTACGCTGCAAAAATTCTCCCTAAAAAGAATGTGGGGGTCACCTAAACATAAGACAACTCAGTTAATTTCACCTTAAGATTAAAACACTAATCCTAACCTAATCTAACTTAACCTAAGCAACCCTAACTTAACTTAATCTAACCTAAACTATCCTACTCGACCTAACTTAACCTAACCTAACTTAGATCTTCATGACCTCACTTTGACCTTTCACTTTAACTCATGATCATGACCTATGACCTCTAACTTACTACTTTGACTTGTGATCTTAACCTACGACCTTGACCTGTGACCTGGACCACACACACACATGCACACCAGCCTCTAAATGTATATATTTCGCTCTCTCTACATCCAGCTCTCTGTTGCCACATAAGAGACTTCGGTAACCTCATATGTGCTGTTGCTCATAGCTTACCGTACGTGTTCTTGTTGCTGATACATGTAGTAGATATATTTTCGATTTATTTATACATATGAACGCACTTACACACACTCATCACAGACGCTTGCATACTTAAGTGAACACACACACACACACACACACACACACACACACACACACACACACACACACTTAAGTAACTCACAGAGGCGTCCCCCAAGGCACCAAAATGGGACCGCTCTGCTTCCTTATGCTTATCAATGATGCCCTAAGAGAAAACTCTGCTCGCTGGAAATATGTCGATGACTCCACCAATAGGATCAGTGTTAACAACTCGGCTCCCGACTACACTGCCCTCCAAGATTTATTGAACAGTCTCCAAAAGTGGGCCACCATCAACCATACCAAGACCATGGTTATGCACATCAACCTCTCCTCCTACCTTGTCCTACCTCCCTCAATCACTTTAGGCCCCAACACACTCCAGGTTGTGGACTCCACTAAGCTCCTCGGCGTCACTATAGTTAACAAACTAAATTGGAAAGCACGCCAGTACAGTTGTCAAATCCTCCAGTTTTCGTCTGCACCTCCTCCGCCGACTCAAGTCCCTCGGAGTTCCTTCACCCGAGCTCCTCAGTGTTTACTCAACATGGCTTTCCTATCATACTTATACAGTATACCTTCCAACAGTACGTAATAATACTTAACAGCCACTCGCTTACCTATCGTAATTATACATCTTACCTATCATAATTATACACCTTACCTATCATAATTATACACCTTACATTATCATAATTGTACTACACCTTACCTATAATAATTATACACCCTACCTATTATCATTATACACCTTACCTATCATCATTATACACCCTACCTCGCATCATTATACACCTTACCTATCATCATTATACATCCTACCTATCATAATTATATACCCTACCTACCATCATTATACACCCTACCTATCATCATTATACACCCTACCTATCATCATTATACACCCTACCTATCATCATTATACAGCCCTACCTATCATCATTATACACCCTACCTACCATCATTATACACCCTACCTATCATCATTATACAGCCCTACCTATCATCATTATACACTTTACCTATCATCATTATACACCCTACCTATCATTATACACCTTATATCACCCCTACCTATCATCATTATATACCCTACCTACCATCATTATACACCCTACCTATCATCATTATACACCCTACCTATCATCATTATACACCCTACCTATCATCATTATACAGCCCTACCTATCATCATTATACACCCTACCTACCATCATTATACACCCTACCTATCATCATTATACAGCCCTACCTATCATCATTATACACTTTACCTATCATCATTATACACCCTACCTATCATCATTATACACCCTACCTACCATCATTATACACCCTACCTATCATTATTATACCCCTTAACCCTCCCCACTACCCCATAACTCTCTCCACCTTCCCACAGAACCTCCACCCAACCCCCCAACCCCTTGACCTTCTCTACCACCCTCACCCTCTCCATCACCCCTTTAACCCCCTCCAGCGCCTCAGTAACCACCTCTCTCTCTCTCTCTCTCTCTCTATCTCTCCCACCGCCAGAACGGGACGTACGCGTGTGTGTCGTTGTGTCCCAGTGAGAACATCCCGCCCAGTGCCCAGTGCCATCACCCTCACCTGGTCACGGTGCCTGGCCAGTGTTGCAGGGAGTGGATGTGTGACACAGCTCCAGGTCAGTGCCACTCCACCAGGTCAGTATTAGGGTGTGCCAGGTCAGTATCCAGGGGTGTCACTGACAATCTACAAAGAGGTCAGGTCAGTATACTAGGTCACAGTGAACATGGTTTGTGTATGTATGTTAAGTCAGTATGCAGGGATAGTGGATGTGTACAAGAGAAGGGATACAGGATTAATTTATTTTATTTTTTGGGGTAAGTTTAAAGAGGAGTCACAAAGCGAACCGTAACTCACATAACGAACAGTGACCCATACAACGAACAATGACTCCGAACAGTGACCCATACAACGAACAATGACTCCGAACAGTGACCCATACAGCGAACAATGACTCAGAACAGTGACCCATACAACGAACAATGACTCAGAACAGTGACCCATACAACGAACAATGACTCCGAACAGTGACCCATACAACGAACAATGACTCAGAACAGTGACCCATACAGCGAACAATGACTCACATAACGAACAATGACAATGACTCCGAACAACGACAATGACTCCGAACAACGACAATGACTCCGAACAGTGACCCATAAGCGAACAATGACTCACACAACGACGCACCTGATACCCTCACCTGTACTCAAGCATAGTTCGTGTCCACTTTATAGTCTTTATAAAGTATGACGTCATATTCAGTCTTTAGAAATCTTGAGTGATTTAGGTCATTCAAGGACGAAAAATATTTAAAAAGTCGAAATTAATCGGAAACATTGACTGATGGTAGGATACAACATGAGACTCGCTCTGGAAGAAACATTCAACATCCTACAAGTTACAAAATTCTGTTAAAGAAAATAAAAACAATATATTTCACTCAGTGCTAATTTTCGTAATGCAACTTTGTAACGTGGAGGAAATTTTCATGAAAGCTTTACAATTTGTTTTAAAAGGTCAAAGGAACTTGACTTACATTTTACGAAGGTTTATTTGAAGTTGTTGAGGATTTTACACTTACGTGAATAAAATGTGGAATGTCATTGATGTTAGCTGCCCTGGCCTCGTCGTGTATGTGTGTGTGTGTGAACCAGTTACAGGTCCACCACTCGGGCTAAATCTTTCTTAATGTTTGTTGAATAATTTTTTGTCAACATCATCCAAAAAATAGCTGACCTGACACCACCTGCCGGGATGTTGACCTTGTCTTGGTCATCTATTAGGAATGCAATTTTACCTTTCTCAGTCAAGGAAAGGCAAAAATTAAGGATTGCACAAGGTTCCTGCATTTAAGGTAATGACACAATGATACTAAAATCTGGAGGAAATGCCATGATAGTACGTGTAATCTACCTTTTGTTTATTTCTCAGGCTTAGTTTAACTTACATGAGAAAGGAGCCTATTTACAGAAAGTGACGGATGAACACACTTTCAGCCATGCCATGAACGTTCCCCGTTCACCTGGTGTGCTTCACGCTGTGCTTTCTTCACCAGTCAAGATTATTATTACCCAGAGAGTCGGTGAATCACTGACTACCTAGCTTTGTATCATCGTCCTGTACTCCGACTGGCTACCATCATCACTTTATATATCACATGTGACTTTCAACAAGGTTTCCGATTATGTTAAGTCAGGTGAGTCTCTTTGTGAGTGCCTTGTGAAGATTAGTGACCAAAAATATGACTTAATACCCAATGATGGTAAGGTCAGTTTGTCTCCTGTTATCTATAGGGTAATGAAGTGTAACGTGTCCTTCTTGCCTATACGGCTTGAGTATCTACATCAACTCAGGACACTGCTGACAGCGTGATATAGTACTCGGTAATATCATGGTCAGATACTGCGTTTGTTATGACGTGGTTTTCATTCGTGAGAAACAGTTGATGATCCATATGGTGGCTGCTTCAGTATTTCTCGGTCATTTGGATCAAACAATAGAAAAAAAAATCCAAGTTATTGAAGACTTGTGAAATAATGTCACCCTCGACCCAATAAAGCGTCGGGGACACAACCAAAGCCCAGGATGAGTTCACTTACATTAGTGATGAGATTCGGGGCGACGGTACGAAGAAATTACGAAGCAATTAAATCCCTGGCTGTCTTATAATGCAGCGGCCGGAGGCAGATATTTGGCTCGGCCGGAACAGGAACGCAAGGAGTGGGATTTGCATCTTCAAGACGCTAGAGTCCCCCATTTTGCTACTTTAATGGGACTTGCTCGCACGACTTTATCTGAGGACACGACTGAGTTCCTCTCAATTCCTCGTGGGATTTTGACTCCACTTGTTACATACACTGCAGTCATGAGTGTGTGTGTGTATATATATGTGTGTTGGAGTGTGTATATCTCATCTCTTAACTACAGTACACTTACACTTAGGGACCGGCCTTTTAACTCTAAGCATTAGCTACACTTAGGGACCGGCCTTTAAAGACTAACATTAACTACACTTAGGGACCGGCCTTTAAAGACTAACATTAGCTACACTTAGGGACCGGCCTTTAAAGACTAACATTAACTACACTTAGGGACCGGCCTTTAAAGACTAACATTAACTACACTTAGGGACCGGCCTTTAAAGACTAACATTAACTACACTTAGGGACCGGCCTTTAAAGACTAACATTAGCTACACTTAGGGACCGGCCTTTAAAGACTAACATTAGCTACACTTAGGGACCGGCCTTTAAAGACTAACATTAGCTACACTTAGGGACCGGCCTTTAAAGACTAACATTAGCAACACTTAGGGACCGGCCTTTAAAGACTAACATTACCTATATTTAAGGAACCACCAAGAAGCGGAATTTCGAATCTGTCTTCAGGGGTTTATACTGAATGACCTGTTTACATAGACGTACACCTCCTGAACACCCCTTGCAATGATAAATCGGGTCATGGATTCGTCATTAGCGTCATAGAAAGGAAGACTCGAGGCACGGAAACTATCAATAGTGAAAGTGAACATCATGACACGCTACCTTATCTGTATTAGGCGTGTGGTTCTTCGGTGTTCAGGCAGGTAGAGAAGATTTTATCACGCTGATACAACACACCGATATTGATGTCAAACTATGATCAGAGGTCAAAGTAATTAGTGGTAAGTGGAACGATTTTTAACCATGGTCGGTATCTTGAGCTTATAACCTCACGACCTGTCAGCAAGATCGGAGGACCTTGGTGTGTGTGAGGTGTCGCTGGCTGTAGTGTGCTCCGTCCTGCTCGCTGTCATGCCAAGTTTCCCAGACTAGTTATCTCTTTCGTCGAGGGCAGCGGGTCTCCTCGACCAGAAGCAAGCAAACATAATCACACAGAATGGTCAATACTTTAGAAAAATGTTGGTAAGCACTGCCAGTCTAAGAGGACATTGAGCAGCTTCATTTCGAGATCATCTTCTAGATTTTTCTTTTAGCAAAAATGTGGAACAAGAAAACTTTGTGATACGAATTTACGTGAGACACTTTCCTACCAAGTGAGAAACGGAAACTCTCACAAGGCAGAGACGCTGCCCAGAGGTTGCCCCACATCTTGTGGTAAGACTCTCAGTTTCTATTGTCAACGTCCAGCTTCACCCTCTGGTACTTCTGCTGAGACTTTCCCGTTAATGGAAGTATTGGTGGTCACAACTCACAGAGGAGAGGACGTATGTGACCCTCAAGACTGGAGAGTTTTAGTCATCTGAACCCGACGAAAACTTTTCCCGTTTTCTCGAGTTAGAAATTTTAGTCCATAGACCAATATTTTGTGAAACTGTAAGTGTTCACTGCAGGTTCATGAGTATGTTAAGGTTTATATGTCTACTGGATATTAACTCAGTGTTTGAGGCTGAGGATCCACTGATAAGTCATTTTATGATCGTTACAGTGAAAAGAGAACAGCGAACATGTCCCGGCGTTGCCTAACGATATGTTGCAGGATTCATAAACACATCTCCTATAAGATAATTCGGGCGTTCGTTCTTTCTCAATTGGGAAAGTTACCCGGTTCCAGGTAACTTCCTCCGTTGAGAAAGTATTTCGATAATACTGGGGAGGATTTGACCCCCCATAGGTGGCAGCTTGATGGACTGATGGACTGTCCCGCTGGTGGTGTCTGGGCCATCGTGCACGACCTGCTTTTCCAGGTTATTTGTGCTCATGGATGCCGACCTACACAGCCTGGTGTCCTGTCTCTTTGCACTACATTGTGACACGATGACTTTCAGTGTATTTCTGATCATATCTGATTATCACAATTTGGTGCCTTTGTCGGGCCGTTCTTGATCTGTCTCAGTGGGCACGTCTCCTCCCCACCTCCTGTAGGACCTTTACTTCCTACATAACACGTGTTGCATCACATTCTCGTCGCCCTTCACTCGCTGGAGAGTAAAATCACGAAGATGGTCACAAAATGAAGTAAACTGCAGACCGTTCAATCGTTCACTATGACTCACTGTAAACTACCAGCATAAAAAAAAGACTAAATTCTAATTTGTTTTGCAGCCAGTGTCAGCTGGCCTCGCTCCCAGCTGACGGAGGTTTACTAGTCGTGGTTGTGACCGTGGCAGTACCCAGCCCTCAGCTCAAAAGCAACGAATAACATAAAGACTTACTCCCCATAGGTCTCGAGGTCGAACTAAGGTATTCTTGAGGTGAGAGTGAGGGAGCCGACCCAAGTGTGGGGAGGTCGTGGCTCATCACAAGATTCAATGTGACACTCTGATCCCTGTGTGATATTAGTGTGTTATATGCTTCTAAGTCTATCTTCCTCACTGATACCGAAAGCTGATAAAAACACTGAGGTAAAAAGGTATCTAAAGTGACATACATGCATGAGACATAACTAAAATAGGATCTGACGAAAGAAAAAATATAATTGACAACATAAACAATGATCCATTACACGTTGATATGGGGCATTTTAACTCTTATGTTAGCAAAAGTTAGGGACCGGCCATTTAACACTCACATCAGCTACACGTAGGGACCGGCCATTTAACACTCACATCAGCTACACGTAGGGACCGGCCATTTAACACTCACATCAGCTACACGTAGGGACCGGCCATTTAACACTCACATCAGCTACATGTAACAAACGGCCTTCGAGTAAGCTCAGAATTACATCAGTTATTAACCCGTCTTAATTAATTTATCTAAGACCAGTGTTAAATATTTTATCTAAGGCCCGTGGCCTAAGCGGAGAGTTGCTGTGTACCATTAATGTTCTGACCCCAAGGCTGGATGCTGTCTCCTCTGTTGTTGTGCAATAAGGCGTAACTCTCTCTCTCTCTCTGACGGGACAAGAGGGGCCTTAGGCACCCGGGTACAGCAACTACACTATGCACATAGATCTTACTAATCACAGACTCTTTGTAACTTTGTGTCTTGGCTAAACAGTCTTACCTCTCGACCCAACCTATTCTTGGTACGTGTAGGTCTCAAGCAGTGAAGATTGAGTCACTGTGATAAAATGGTTACTCATAGCTTCATTACATGCTCGCATGTTCTGGCTGGTGTGAGATTATAACTGACAGCTTAATGACCACTGACGTTGGTTCAATTCACTGTGTAGGTTTTTTCCCGTTGTTATAAATTCATGACAACGGCTATTAAATTTCCGGGATAACGGTGTGTGGTTTATGAGTCTTCAGGTTTTTTTAAATTGAGGCTCCTGAATTGATGCTGCAGGATACCCAAAGAGTAAGCCTTTTATCCTGAGACTCACGGCGTAATTATGTTCACGGTACAGTCCTCTTGAGTTGAGACTCGCCTCATAATACAGTCCAGTTGAGCTGAGACTGACCTAATAACACTGGCCAATGCAAAATTCTCTTAAACTGAGACTCACCAGAGGACGTCCAAGTCTTGTAGTAGCCTCACAAGCCTTAGTGACCCTGAGCCTCAAACCCACAATACACCCAATCAGCCAGAGTACTCGGTAATTTCCGGCATTCAACCAAAGTACCTACAGTAATATTATCTCACCAACACACCATTACCTTCACTCTTGGCTTGTGCTGAGTGTACCATGGGGAAGACACACTCAGACGCGAGACAGAAACACGGAGTAACTTAACTGTACTTCGTTTAATTCCCTCGGGGATTTTTAGAAACCTTTTGTCTTGGTGTAAAACCCTAAGACCAAGTGGGAAAAGAAATTCATCTTATATTCTCCATAATGTACAGTTTTTAGTCAAATATTGGTTTCCCAGGAGGAGTGTTTATAGAGCAGGGGGAATGGACGATAGTCCAAGAAGAAAAAAGAGCAACTCTCACGTCGGTAATATACAGTGGACGAGATCCGAGCCATTGTGTTAGTTAGGTTAGGAAAAGGTCGTTGAATTCTGATCTTAGGGACTTAGGGACCGGCCTTTTAAAACCTAACATTACCTACAATTAGGGACCGGCCTTTTAAAAACTAACATCAGCTACACTTAGGGACCGGCCTTTTAAAAACTAACATCAGCTACACTTAGGGACCGGCCTTTTAAATACTAACATCAGCTACACTTAGGGACCGGCCTTTTAAAAACTAACATCAGCTACACTTAGGGACCGGCCTTTTAAATACTAACATCAGCTACACTTAGGGACCGGCCTTTTAAATACTAACATCAGCTACACTTAGGGACCGGCCTTTTAAAAACTAACATCAGCTACACTTAGGAACCGGCCTTTTAAATACTAACATCAGCTACATAGGGACCGGCCTTTTAAATACTAACATCAGCTACATAGGGACCGGCCTTTTAAATACTAACATCAGCTACATAGGGACCGGCCTTTTAAACACTAACATCAGGGGACCGGCCTTTTAAAAATACTAACATCAGCTACACTTAGGGACCGGCCTTTTAAAGACTAACATCAGCTACACTTAGGGACCGGCCTTTTAAATACTAACATCAGCTACACTTAGGGACCGGCCTTTTAAAAATACTAACATCAGCTACATAGGGACCAACCTTTTAAAACTAACATCAGCGGGACCGGCCTTTTAAATATTAACATCAGCTACACTTAGGGACCGGCCTTTTAAAAACTAACATCAGCTACCTTAGGGACCGGCCTTTTAAATACTAACATCAGCTACACTTAGGGACCGGCCTTTTAAATATTAACATCAGCTACACTTAGGGACCGGCCTTTTAAAACAACATCAGCTACACTTAGGGACCGGCCTTTTAAATACTAACATCAGCTACACTTAGGGACCGGCCTTTTAAATACTAACATCAGCTACACTTAGGGACCGGCCTTTTAAAAACTAACATCAGCTACACTTAGGGACCGGCCTTTTAAAGACTAACATCAGCTACACTTAGGGACCGGCCTTTTAAATACTAACATCAGCTACACTTAGGGACCGGCCTTTTAAATACTAACATCAGCTACACTTAGGGACCGGCCTTTTAAATACTAACATCAGCTACACTTAGGGACCAGCATTTTAAAACTACCATTATCTACACTGATCTGAAGCCTTACATCTAATACACTGAAAGAGAGAGAGAGATCACACAGTTCTCACACACACACACCCACATAGAGAACAACTTTTTGAAAACTTTGCGTGGCCCGTGAATGACCACTGGTGTTGCTCTCTTCGTTCTCTATTGAGGGTCTTATGAGAGACAGTGATCAGTGACTCTTGTATCTCTGTCAGCTTTGTTGTTGTTTACACCTCTACTTGTTCTTGTTGACATTAGAGAGGTACAGTATAATAACAATGGCCCACCATACATCCTCTTCCTTGGTGGTAAACATCTCCAAGTAGGATATATTCTGAAGATGTAAACACGAACCTCAGAATCCAGTGTTTTCTTGGCAAATCTCGTCATATTTTTTTTTCCTTCATTGGCTTCATTTGTTTGTTCCTTAACTATTATCGCTGGCCACTGAGGTATTTATATCCAATTAGGCCAACTGTTATGAAGACTTATAATGGTATACCTGAGTCTCTGGATACACCTGAGTATTATTGACTCGCCTTGTATATGATAGACACATCAACTTGAGGTTTGTTTACCTCCAGTTCGTCTTCCTGAATTTCAGTTTGATGGCTTATGGTACAGGTCGTTTACATCTGTCTGTCACGCCTCAGTTTTCAGGTATACCAATAACAATTTCACCCGCTGCCTAATTAGTAACACCTCACCTGGGTAGCACCTGGTGACTTGTTCGTTCCTTCACCAGCAGCTGGAAGTGCAAGGTGAACTTTTCGTGGTTATTAGTGGATTTATATAGTCAAACTTCACCACAACAGGAAGATAAACACCGAAGCCGTAACTCAACTTCAGCTTCAGTACGAGATAATATAAATTTCTCATTCTTCTTCTAGCAGTACAGCTTCATGACACTGCCCAATATCCTGACTATAAGAGAGGAAACGGAAGCCAATGAAATATGTCTGGATATTTTTCACAGGTAACTTATGTATACCTCCAATATCTGTCTAACTCCTTACCTTTAGTCATATGTAAAACCTGGTTCTGAGGTGTTATGGTCGACACATGAAAGACCTGGTTGGACAATATTAAAGAAAATCAACCAATTCGTTTTATAATGACCGAATTAGTGCCATTTAAAGAACAAGGAAGTTGTTTATATATTGACTGGTGTTTTCTATAATGGTTCACTGCCACGGCCTAGATACCTGTGGCTTGGGTAACTAATCTACATAATGATCCTTTCTTAATTATTTTACCTGTTATTTATGAGTGTTATTTCCGCCAGGTGTGAACTTTGTGACATATCGTCTTCCTCACATCCAATCTTTGTGTGTTTTTGGTCCATTCTTTGCCTCCGTTGTGGAGACTAACGAGGGGGTGTTCACATCTCACTGTTATTGTACACTTAACGATTCATTACCGATAACCTGGGGAGCCTTCAGGTACTTGTAAAACACAGCTGCTCGGGTTGGTTCCATATATACAGGGTCAGCCAAGAAGAATACGCAGATTTTAATATTTAATCTTTTAAAATCTGTGTATTTTATTTTATTTCGTTCACCCTGTACTTTTCCCCAATTTCCACATATAAGCCTTTAAAATCTGGGTTTTTTTATCACCCTGTACTTTTCCCCAGATTTCCATATATAATTCTTTAAAATCTGGGTATTTTCTTTTTCGATCAGTCTGTACTTTGATAAAAAATGAGTAAAGATGATCAAAGAACGCTGAACGAACACGTAATGAAGAAAAACAAAAACGATAACGAGAGAAATGACTCGAAAATATGTAAAAATGTTCTGTGGTCGTACATTTGCAAGTTTGTGAAGAGAATAATAATAATAATAATAACAATAATAATAACAATAATAATAACAATAATAATAATAATAATAATAATAATAATAATTATAATTAAAAATAAAAATAATAATAATAAAAATAATAATAATAACGATAATAGCAATAATAATTACATACAGTGCATTTTATTATTGTTGTTGTTATTAATATTATTATTCTCATTATCGCACACCTTCACTACCTCACAAATAAACTAACAAGAAACTACTTTACTTGGGAAACTGAAATTATGATTAAAATAAATTAATATAATTGTACACAAGAAAAGTAACCATTAAATTTCAAAATATTCCTAAACATAAATTCCCGTAATGTAGTTTTAATTCGCAGTGAAGCTTCTCGTTTATATACCATTACTTCTGCGTATAATAAACGGGAATTAATGCATAAATTTAAATTAGTAAAACAAAACGTGGATTACATAATATATTGTACATGATCGTCACTAAAGAATAGGTGCACTATGTTATTATTACGTGTGATAATGCATTCGTGTATTCCTTGGCGTTCAAATGTGTAACCATGTGTAGTTATGTGTAATGATGTCAAGTGTCTTTTGCTATAGAGGTGTGTTGATGCTTATTGTGACTGTTAACATCACTTCAGTAAGACCTTCATGAGTGTTTCAGTGTCACCAGGAAAAATTCTCGGAAAATATTAACTCTGTGGTGTTAAAATTCGACCCCGGATTAAGATAATCTAGTTTGGTTATGCGTATTCATGTAAAGATGGATTTTCCTTGAATTTTTTGTATTTTTATCTGTTCACGATTCTTGTGCACTTTGGAAAAATACAGCGAAGGAATCGACCGTGAAAAAACCGTAATGTTGTTGATGATAAGACGCGGCGTGTGTGTGTGTATTCCTCCGCTATCAAAGCTCCCGTTTTCTTTAGTCGTAAGGGGGTCCTCAGGCGATCTCCTTATGGCCAAGACGTGTGTCATCTGTCATGTCACTCCTTTACTCACAACAACCCACTAACACCCAGCTGAGAATGATCTTACTACATTGAGAATTCACTTTCTGTCTGTCTGTCTGTCTGTTTGTCAGTCCGTCCCAACATTTACTGAGAGTGGGGAAGGGTGTCTGACTGGAGGTTGACTCGGATCGACCCCTACTCAGGTCAGGTGAGGGTGAGTGTCCCCCAACACGCTGCCTCACTGTGACCTCCCCAGTACTTGGAGTATTATGTTGTGTGTATATTGAGATGATATACACCAGGTTGTATATTTGACATAAACACAAACAAATCTCACGATGGTCGAGCTAAAAGCAACAAGACGGCTCTGCTTGACGATCTTAAGTTAAATGTACAGTAATGATAAAATAGTACTGTGTTGTGTGTTGACGTCTGGGTGAATGAGCACACTTTACTATAAGGCCGTGACCAGAACCCATTGCATCATCGTCAAAGTAAGTGAAAAACTCTGTAGATATAGAACAATGATGTAAACATATAGGAGATTTGTAATACAATCAGAGTTTTAAGCTCCGGTCGTGAGATGCTGTGTTTGGGGTTCACAGCTACCCAACGTCCCCCACTGCGTTACAAACATCTCCTGTCTGGCTACATTGTGTCCCGCTCTCAATAGGTTTAAGTTACGCGCATGTTGCATGTCGTTACAATGATCACCGGTGTGAGTCACTAGCCTGAATGATGAATAAACGTTGCAAGTATAATTAAGGATATACAACCATGGACTTGAAAGGAGTGATATCTGACAACTACAGATAAACTTTTAAGTAAATATACAAAATTAAGCTTAAGCATAACACCAAGATTAAAAGATTCAATAAATATCACAAAACTGTAGTACTAATAGTATGACCTTTCAAGTGGAGTTGTGTGGGGGGGCTGCTGGTGTTGAGGGGGCCACCTTCTGCAGGACCCTGGAGTGGGGTACACCTGAGTCACTCCAGCAGGCGTCCCTAACACTCTACACACCCTGGGGGAAGAAAAGGACCGACTGTTTCATGACGAAAAGACAAGTAAAGGCTGCTGGAGGCTCGGAAAACGAAGGTTCACTAAGATGTGATCCTCAGTCGTTAGTGAGATGAGTGAGGAACGACTGACTACACTAACAGCTAAGATGACAGTGGTTACGTCGAGGCTCTGTGAGGTTATTGTCCCAGAGACCTTCCTTCTCGAGTCACTTGATGAGGTTACGCTGCCTGATGGGACACATTATGATATTATGTCCTGAGTAATGAGTTTCAGCTCACGTTTCAGCCTGAGTGAACCAAAAGATGGAGATATTGAGGTACCAGACCCGAGTGTGTTGTATCACTCCTGGACTACCTGCCACAGGAGCTGGGGAGAGCTACTCTACCACCCTGTGTCTCCACCTCTCATGTTCTCATAAAAAATATACATATATCAAAGGTTGTCTTGTTAAGCTTCCATGAGCAGGAAGTAGGAGAGTCTTGGCAGCTTCAGGTCTGTTTACACTGTTTGTCGTGGCACTTTAAACATCCATCATGTGTGGATACTTGACTCGACGCCCCGCCTCGCAGTCAGAAGAATCATCACTTGAGATTCTTTAAAAGTGTATCTGTACAAGCCTACAGGCTACCCCTGTGGGAGCGAGTAAATAGTGGAGCTGTCAGACTAACATCACTCCATGTGCTCTATCACGTACAGTACACTCTTGTTTGACGGACAAAAGGTTAAACTGTACCGGCATGGTTGCAATAACTTTTGCTATTTCAATATTTTTTTCAGTACTACTTCTAAATGTAGTCAATAATAATGACTAAAGTGCATTATGGTACCCGTTCTATATTCCTTGAGTTTTTAAAGAACACAAATAAGTGGAATCAGAGTTTTATTATCTAATGTAAAAAAGGTCCATAAAATATCTCTTCCTACTATTACATCCTATGAAAACGTAGAAGAAATTTAAAAAACCGTAACAATTTGCTGATTTGTTTATGGAACCAACACGAACATCGACGGAAAATAAATTCTGACATCTGATGAAACATTAACAATGTTGAGTCGAGCTTTTACCACCAGTGAGGCTTTACCATGGGTGGGTGTGAGTCTCCTCGTGAGTCTGTGAGGCGAAGGTTGACGTAACACATACATAGTCCTGTGGTGCTTCATGTGACCACCTAGGCGACAAGGCTCTTTTATTATGAGAGTCTAGTCCTTAAATTGCAGAACTATCCTTTATTTGATAGTTCTTAAGGAGTCATACAGAGAGAAATAATCACCTCTCTTGACCAGATGCACTTGTTCACCCCCGTGTACTATACTGGGGGAGAAATGCATTGTCGGTGACGCACACACACACACACACACCCACGAGGCATCATCACTGAGCCGGGTGTTAGTCCTTTCATATCGCGTGTCTGTCATTCTCTCAGACTTGAATAGAAAACAAAAGAACAACGCCTTTGGCCTCCATTACAGAGACGACCTAGTGTGTGTTGGTGGCGTGGTGGAGGCAGCCTCGCTTGGCCCGCTGGGTGACTGGTGAGGCAGGGCGCACCTTCACTATTTACGGTTATGGTATCGTGAAGGAGACATTATGCCGTTTTTATTGGTTCTTGTGACCTAATTTGCATAATTCGATAAGGATCCGGAATCTTTTTTATTGTTTCACAAAAATTTTAAGTCTACAAATTATTCTTTATCTTTTTTATTTGTCTATTTTTCTCCAAGTTTCATCCTCAGTATTATCACGCTCTTCCTTAACATTATTTAATTCTCGTTATCCTTATTCCTCGCATTAATTTTCTTCCTACCTTCCTTACGTTGAAGTTGCCGTACAGTACAAGGCACGATCACAAAACGTGAGACACAATATTCCGCGCAAGACTGAAAAACTCTGATGAGATCGATAAAAAAAGAAGTCGATCACTGACATGGAATTGCAGCACACTAAATCTCCTTCATAGCCTGGCAGTGAACCAGAGAAACGAGTGGTCATTACTGGCGCAGGTGTTTGGTCCGGCCCTCTACTGTGTAACAGCCAGGTGTCCAGTCCGGCCCTCTGCTGTATAACAGCCAGGTGTCCAGTCCGGCCCTCTACTGTGTAACAGCCAGGTGTCCAGTCCGGCCCTCTACTGTGTAACACCAGGTGTCCAGTCCGGCCCTCTACTGTGTAACAGCCAGGTGTCCAGTCCACTGCGTAACAGCCAGGTGTGGACGGCCCCACTGTGTAACAGCCAGGTGTCCAGTCCGGCCCCTCACTGTGTAACAGCCAGGTGTCCAGTCCGGCCTGTGTAACAGCCAGGTGTTTGGTCCGCCCTCTACTGTGTAACAGCCAGGTGTCTGGCCGGGCCCTCTATTGTGTAACAGCCAGGTGTCCAGTCCGGCCCTCTACTGTGTAACAGCCAGGTGTCCAGGACGGCCTCTACTGTGTAACAGCCAGGTGTCCGGTAGCCCCGCTGTAACAGCCAGGTGTCCAGTCCGGCCCTCACTGTGTAACAGCCAGGTGTCCAGTCCGGCCCTCACTGTGTAACAGCCAGGTGTCCAGCCCGGCCTTCTACTGTAACAGCCAGGTGTCCAGGACGGCCTCTACTGTGTAACAGCCAGGTGTCAGCCCGGCCTTCTACTGTGTAACAGCCAGGTGTCCAGGACGGCCCTCTACTGTGTAACAACAGCCAGGTGTCCAGGACGGCCTCTACTGTGTAACAGCCAGGTGTCCAGTCCGGGTGTAACAGCCAGGTGTCCTCCCGGCCCTCTGTAACAGCCAGGTGTTTCGGCCCTACTGTGTAACAGCCAGGTGTCTGGCCGGGCCTCTATTGTGTAACAGCAGTGTCCAGTCCGGCCTCTACTGTGTAACAGCCAGGTGTCCAGGACGGCCCTCTCTGTGTAAACAGCCAGGTGTCCAGCCCGGCTTCCTGTGTCCCTCTGTCAGGACGGCCTCTCTGTGTAACAGCCAGGTGTGCCCAGACGGCCTTGGTAACAGCCAGGTGTCCAGGACGGCCTTCAACTGTGTAACAGCCAGGTGTCCAGTCCGGCCCTCACGTAACAGCCAGGTGTCTGGCCCGGCCCTGGTGTAACAGCCAGGTGTTTGGTCCGGCCCTCGTAACAGCCACTGTGTAACAGCCAGGTGTCCAGTCCGGCCCTCCTGTGCCAACAGCCAGGTGTCCAGGACGGCCCTCTAACAGCCAGGTGTGCCCTCACTGTGTAACAGCCAGGTGTCCAGCCCTCACTGTGTAACAGCCAGGTGTCCAGGACGGCTTCTACTGTGTAACAGCCAGGTGTCCAGTCCGGCCCTCTACTGTGTAACAGCCAGGTGTCCAGTCCGGCCTCTCTGTGTAACAGCCAGGTGTCCAGTCCGGCCCTCTACTGTGTAACAGCCAGGTGTCCAGTCCGGCCCTCTACTGTGTAACAGCTAGGTGTCAGGACGGCCTCTACTGTGTAACAGCCAGGTGTCCGACGGCCTTCTACCAGCCAGGTGTCCAGGACGGCCCTACTGTGTAACAGCCAGGTGTCCAGGACGGCCTTCTACTGTGTAGCCTGTGTAACAGCCAGGTGTCCAGTCCGGCCCTACTGTGTAACAGCCTGTGTAACAGTACTGTGTAACAGGGTGTCCAGGACGGCCCCTCTACGTGTAACAGCCAGGTGTCAGTCCGGCTGTAACAGCCAGGTGTCAGTCCGGCCTCTACTGTGTAACAGCTAGGTGTCCAGGACGGCTCTGTGTGTGCAACCAGGTGTCCAGGACGGCCTCACGGCAGCCAGTCCAGTGTGTGACCAGGTGTCCAGGACGGCCTCTACTGTGTAACAGCCAGGTGTCCAGTCCGGCCCTACTGTGTAACAGCCAGGTGTCAGTCTGTGGCCAGGTGTCAGTCCGGCCCTACTGTGTAACAGCTAGGTGTCAGGACGGCAGTGTAACAGCCAGGTGTCAGTCGGCCCTCTACTGTGTACAACAGCCACCTGCTGTGTCCTCTACTGTGTAACAGCCAGGTGTCCAGAACGGCCCTCTACTGTGTAACAGCCAGGTGTCAGTCCGGCCCTCTACTGTGTAACAGCCAGTGTCCAGTCCGGCCCTCTACCAGCCAGGTGTCCAGTCCGGCCCTCTACTGTTTTAGAGGGCCTCGTGATCGCCACACTGACTCATCTGCTTGTCATTCATAAACAAGTGTACCTTCCTCTAATGTTTGTCTTCCCCTTTACCATAATTCTCACCTCCTGATGATTATGACGGTCCTCCCCTCCCATCAATTTATTAACCACTAAACAGAAACACGTACAGGTCCATCATGAGGTCTGGACGACAACCTTTGTATCTTATAACGTGGAGAAGACCCAGGCTTGTGTACAGGTGTGTGAGACTGAGTCAGGTATGTGTACAGGTGTGTGAGAATGAGCCAGGTTTTTGTACAGGTGTGTGAAACTGAGACAGGTATGTGTACAGGTGTGTGAGACTGAGCCATCACAAATTTTAAATATAACTAATAAGTTGATATATTCTTTATTATCTAAACAACTGAAATATTGACAATTAATATACCTATCAAATAAAGCAACGTTTGTTTAGCGTAAATGTACTGTAATTGACTTATAAGATGCAAAGTTACATAGATAAATGATCAATGTAGCCGGAATTATAACACATAACTTTCCCACCTGCTGTTCTGGGTGTATGAAGAACACATGTTCTCGTATAACACTTATAACAAGGCATTAACACACGTGTTCTAGTATGACTACACAGGGTTTTTCCAAGGTATTTCTAGCACGACAACACCTCAGACATCACCAAAATGTTCAAATGAGCTTTTAAGTACGACTATACGACTACTGTGGTCGTAAATCCCTCAACGTCACTGTGAGAATATCCAACGCCCCTATGAGGATACACTATCAGGACGACTACAAAGGATATCATCGCTACAATAGAGATGTTTGAACCCCAGTAACTGAAGAACTGAAGAAGGTCTCAGGTGTAAATTCCACCTTGAGTGTCTGAGCGTTCTATCGCCACTGGGACTCGGGGCTCCCCCAGCACAGGTGTGTACAGAAGCAACATGTAAACCAACACTGTATTTTGTCACGTATCGAGGCATCACAACGCACCGTGCACACAAAAACGACTATTACAGAGGCATAATATTGGTACAAAGTGTAATTAGTATTTCTGGCACTACAGCTCAGAGGAAGAGAGCCGGTCATCACAACATACAGAATTTCTATTACAGTATTATAAGGAAGCACAGTAGTTAAATGCCACAGTTCTGTAGTTCCGTTATTGAGACATAGCTTGACACAGCATCGAGACAGCACAGTAATATAACTTCTTCCGCGTAGTAAAGAGTTCACAGCACCCAGACAACACAGTTTAGGAACGTGCAGCAAGTCGCCCGACACAGCACTACTAGCATAGTCGTGAGAAAAAAAGCCAGCGATATGCATAACTCAATTAGCACAAAACTATTACATTCTTGACGTACAGCACAGCACACTATAACGCAAGTAACTTGACACCACAGCACAAAGAAAGTGGACACTGTAGCCACGAATGTGTGTGATGGTGCTGGTGGCACTGTGGTATGGTGTATTTCTTAAGTTAACATCCGTATAGCTGCAAGGCATTGACTTCAGCAATGTTATCATATGAAGTCATGAAGTCAATACCCTTGTGATATTATGATTTATTTCGTTTCTAATTGACATCTAATTGACTAAGCAAACATGACCTCACCTTCAACCTTGACTTCATCGACACACACACACACACACACACATCTGAAAGCTCGCTAGATTCAGCACTTCACATGAAAGCTTGCCTGTTATCCCTGCTGAGTGTAACGCCGCGCAAAATGAGACTCTCCAACAATTTTACGATGAAAGCGAAGCAATAATCACCCTGTCACCCTTTTCCTCGTCACTACCGGGGAGTAAAGAATTGTCTCCCAGAACAGAAAAAACATAAACCTTTTTTCTTTTTTTTAACTCATTTAACGTAAGGGTAAAAGGTAATTAAGAGGCTGGAGTAGGGAGGAGTGGTAAAGTGTGGAAGAATGAGGAGGAGGAGGAGCGTGAGGGGTGTGATGAGTGAGGATAAGTGTGGAGGAGTGAGGAGGAGCAGGAGGGAGTGAGGAGGTGAGGGAGAGCTGGAAGAAATGAGGAGTGGGGAGGAGCAATAAGGAGTGAGTAGCGGGAAGAAATGAGGAGTGAGGAAGAGTTGGGAGTGATGAGGAGAAGAGAGAGAGAGTGATAAGGAGGTGCGGGAAGCCTGTATGTACTGTACGAGCATAATGTATTCCCGAGTATTTCTATACCATTGTTTACGGTTAATAAATTGTCGAAATTTATGTAGAAAAAAAATAAATAATGATAATCAGCATTTAAACAAAAACATAAATAAACACCACCTAACACCATCACACAACGATAAACACCACCTAACACCATCACACACCGATAAACACCACCTAACACCATCACACAACGATAAACACCACCTAACACCATCACACACCGATAAACACCACCTAACACCATCACACCGATAAACACCACCTAACACCATCACACCGATAAACACCACCTAACACCATCACACAACGATAAACTACCACCTAACACCATCACACAACGATAAACACCACCTAACACATACGCTGATAAACACCACCTAACACCATCACACAACGATAAACACCACTAACACCATCACTGGCAGTAAGCACCACCTAACACCATCACACAACGATAAAGCACCTAACACCATCACACAACGATAAAGCACCACCTAACACCATCACACAACGATAAACACCACCTAACACCATCACACAACGATAAACACCACCTAACACACCATCACAACGATAAGCACCACCTAACACCATCACACAACGATAAACACCACCTAACACCATCACACAATGATAAACACCACCTAACACCATCACACAACGATAAACACCACCTAACATCACACAACGATAAACACCTAACACACCATCACACAACGATAAAGCACCACCTAACACCATCACACCGCTGATAAAGCACCACCTAACACCATCACACAACGATAAACACCACCTAACACCATCACACAACGACAAACACCACCTAACACCATCACACAACGATAAACACCACCTAACACCATGCACAACGACAAACACCACCACCTAACACCACTAACGATAAACACCACCTAACACCATCACCTAACAATGGGCCTACTAACCACCATCACTGGCTTGATAAACACCACCTAACACCATCACATAACACTAAACACCACCTACTTACCATCACATAACAATAAACACCACCTAACACCATCACACAACGATAAAGCACCACCCTAACACCATCACATAACAATAAACACCACCTAACACCATCACACATAACAATAAACACCACCTAAACACCATCACACAACGATAAACACCACTAACATCATCACATAACACTAAACACCACCTAACACCATCACCTAACAATGAACACCACCTAACACCATCCACAACAATTAAACACCACACTAACACCATCACACCAACACTAAACACCACCTAACACCATCATAACAATGAACACCACCTAACACCATCACATAACAATAAACACCACCTAACACCATCACACAACGATAAACTACCACCTAACACCATCACATAGCTTACTAAAACACCACCTAACACCATCACACCAACAATGAACACCACCTAACACCATCACATAACAATAAGAAACACCACCTAGCTTACCATCACTAGCAGTAAACACCACCTAACACCATCCGCACAACGATAAAACACCACCTAACACCATCACGCAACAATAAACACCACCTAACACCATCACATAACAATAAACACCACCTAACACCATCACACAGCTTGATAAAGCCACCACCTAACACCATCACACAACGACAAACACCACCTAACACCATCCCACCTAACGATAAACACCACCTAACACCATCACCTAACAATGAACCACCACCTAACACCATCACACAACGATAAGCACTAACACCATCACATAACACTAAAGCACACCTAACACCATCACATAACAATAAACACCTAACACACCATCACACAACGATAAACACCACCTAACACCATCACATAACAATAAACACCACCTAACACCATCACATAACAATAAACACCACCTAACACCATCCACACAACGATAAACACCACCTAACATCATCACACAACACTAAACACCACCTAACACCATCACTAACAATAGACACCACCTAACACACCATCACACAGCTTGATAAAGCACCTAACACCATCCCACATAACACTAAAATACCACCCTAACACCATCACATAACAATGAACACCACCTAACACCATCACGCAACAATAGAAAGCACCCACCTAACACCATCACACAACGATAAACACCACCTAACACCATCACATAACACTAAACACCACCTAACACCATCACATAACAGAACTACCTAACACCATCGCAACAATAAACACCACTAACACCATCACACAACGATAAAGCACCACCTTGCATCACACAACGATAAACACCACACAACACCATCACATAACAATAAGCACCACCTAACACCATCACATAACGTAAACACCACCTAAACACCCATCACATAACAATAAACACCACCTAACACCATCACACAACGATAAACACCACTAAACACCATCACACAACGATAAACACCACCCTAACACCATCACATAACAATAAAACACCACTAACACCATCACATAACAATAAACACCACCTAACACACCATCACATAACAATAAGCACCACCTAACACCATCACGCAACAATAAACACCACCTAACACCATCACATAACAATAAACACCACCTAACACCATCACATAACAACTAAACACCTAACACCATCACATAACAATAAAACCACCTAACACCATCACATAACAATAAACACCACCTAACACCAGCTCACATAACAATAAAGCACCACCTAACACCATCACATAACAATAAACACCACCTAACACCATCACACCCAACAATAAACACCACCTAACACCATCACATAACAATAAGCACCACCTAACACACCATGCAAACAATGAACACCACCTAACACCATCACATAACAATGAACACCACCTAACACCATCACATAACAATAAACACCACCTAACACCATCACATAACAATGAACACCACCTAACACCATCACATAACAATAAACACCACCTAACACCATCACATAACAACATCTACAACAGGTGTCAACAAATATACATAAAACATCTAAAACAACTAAGGTAATATTATACTCGTATCAACACAGCATAACACTCAAGAAGACATTCACAAACATCTAAGAAATTCTACCTTTGAGAGTTTTTTCTTGCCCTCCCGCCATACCTTACAGCGCTGAGACGATGTTTCATCAAATTACCAGCGGCTGCCTCACACACACACACAGGTAAGGTGGTGGGACTCCTGGACTGTGAGTGACGGAGTGTCTCCCCCAGGTAAGGTGGTGGGACTCCTGGACTGTGAGTGACGGAGTGTCTCCCCCAGGTAAGGTGGTGGGACTCCTGGACTGTGAGTGACGGAGTGTCTCCCCCAGGTAAGGTGGAAGGACTCCTGGACTGTGAGTGACGGAGTGTCTCCCCCAGGTAAGGTGGTGGGACTCCTTGACTGTGAGTGACGGAGTGTCTCCCCCAGGTAAGGTGGTGGGACTCCTGGACTGTGAGTGACGGAGTGTCTCCCCCAGGTAAGGTGGTGGGACCCCCGGACTGCGAGAGAGTCTCCGGCAGATGGTCGCGGTGTTCGCTACAGAAGTGCGGCGCTGGCGTGTCTCTGCGCTGGTCAACAGACAACGCTCGCTGTCAGCTCGTCAACCAGACTCGTCTGTGTCAGCTACGCCCGTGTCAGGACCGACGTCAACAGCAGCTGACCTCGCCCTACCTCCAACCCGGTGCTCACCCCCCCACCAGGAAACACCACATCAGGGTCAGTTCAAGAAATTAGTGTTACGCTAACTTTTATTTTTTTTCTTCTTAGTGTAAGCGCTTATGTAGCAATATGTGGCCCCGCAAAAATGTCATGTTAATCTTTGACACCAGACATCATTTTAAACCTTGGAACCTGTAGATTAAATAAATATATGGTGACATTTTTTCTGATTGGATTTAAGGTCGTATTTGTCAAGAGAAGTAAGCGAGGAAAAACTAGCTCACTGAGTGTCTAAGTTCATTACATAAAATATCAAAATCATAAGGATTACAAAAGAACAAAACACCATGATCTCTCTACAGCTATTGTCAGTCGTCAATATGCTGATGAACAGAAGCTGCACAATGTTAGTGCTGAATGTAATCCATTTTGTCAGTAAAACGATGCTCTTTTAAACTTGCTAACTGAAGCTGTAATGACAGAAAATGTCAAGTATGACATTCTATGTTCACATGAAGTTGGAAGACAAATTTATGAAAATTTTGTCAATTAACGCATTGTTGGTCCAGTAAGCATCTGGGAAAAGATGTCCAAGGTTAATCTTCTGTCATGGAAAGCAGCAAACAAGACTTCAACCATCAAATTACCTTCACAAGTTATAGAACTTAAGCAGGACAGATCTTTGTTTGCTAGACTTCCAATCATCGCAAGATCCCGTGATGAAATTAATCTACAAGAGGCGATTGGCATGTATGAATTCACTTGTCTGCCAGGATCTCTCTTCTCCCCAGATGGGTCTGTCCTTATTTGCCAAGACAAAAGCAAGCTCATGGGTCTCCTTGAAGCAGCTCCAAAAAGTGAAGAGTCTACTGATGTTCAAATCGTCGCAGATCCACAAAAGGGACCATGTCTTAAGACTCTCATCATCGATGGCATAGCATTAGTTCACGAACTGTCAACTTCGTCAAAAATTTGCTGAGTTTGCAGACCACTTCATCAAAACATTAGCAGCTAAGGCAAAAAGTTATAGTGCTTTGCACCTTGCCTTTGATCGTTATGACGTAGGCCACTCGTTAAAACAAAGAACAAGAAACCGACGCTATGGCAAGGAAGCAAATGCATAGTTATGAAATCACAGATTCAACACAGATAAAAATCTCTTAAGTAGTTACTCACCAACGGCAAGACAAAATCATCATTGATCACCTATCTAGGAAACAAAGCATTGCTTCTGTTTCACTCACGCAAAACCTCATTTGTGCTATCAACCCCAAAAAAACGGTGTTCAGTTAAATGGAAAAATGTTGAACAGCTGAAAAGTAACCATATGGAAGCAGAAGGTCTGCTCATTATTCATGCCATATATGCATCACAGAAAGGCAAAACTGTACAGTCCATATCATGTCACTAGACACTGATGTGTTTGTTCTAGGCATATCAATGCAGCCCCAACTTGGGGAAAATGCAAGTATGATAACAGAAACTGGTGAGCGACGACACATTGTTTCTTTCATGTTCATATACGGTGCTATTGGGCCAGACATTGCAGAGAGCCTTTCAGGTTTCCATGCCTTCACAGGATCTGACTGCACATGTAATTTGCTGGCAAAGGAAAGAAACCATGTTGGAGCATATTTTATGTTACTTTGGACTTAATGGTAATACGTTTGTGGATGACTACGCTGCTCTTTGATAATACTTCTTTAATGGCATAACGTTTATAAGGAACCGTTAAAAAAAGGACACCATAATTTTTCTTAATGTAGAGGTTATAAGGATTAATATGATGTATGGTGTAAAAAATGTTAAATTAATTTTTACGGGATTACATAAGCCGCTGCAATATCTTCTCAATTTTCATTTATTGATAATTCAATTTTACACAAATTAAACCAATAAAAAGAGAAAAAAAGCAGAAGCCTAAAATATAATAAACATAACAAGACTACTGAGGTAAATAATTATTTGTTGTATTTACTATCAGCCATCCCTTATTAAAGCTAATCACCTGTTAGTTATATAATTAAACCATGAACCGTCAAGTCTAGCTATAATATGGATGACCTATCAGTAACCTCATTACCCTTCAGAGGCCAACAACTGTCATGTGTCTCACCCCTTAACCATCACACAGTTAAAATAAAACGAGTCTTGCATTCTTTACCTCCCTGTCAAAACTAAACACATTTTCTATTAATTCATCTAGTGATTTTATTTTTCTTGGCAATTACAGTGACATAAGAGACGGCTGGGCAGCTATCCTATCCTATCCTAACTTTATCCCCCAATAGTGCTAGGGAGGTTAATCTTTAGGTGAAATAAGCTGGGGTGGAGATTCTTCAGGTGACCGCAATATTCTTCTCACATTGATATTGACGTGTTAGAAGGGAGAGATCATTATTGTCTCTCCACCACTATCTCCATCACTAGTCTCTCTACCACCACCACTGTCTCTCCCCCACTACTGTCTCCCCACCGCTACCTCTCTCCACCATCACTACTGTCTCACCAACACCAGCCATTGTCTTACCACTACCACTCTCCAACCCCTCACTCCCACTATCAGTCTCACCACCACCACCACTCTCTCCACCACTATTACTACCGCACCACCACCACTCTCTCCACCACTATTACTACCGCACCACCACCACTCACTCCACCACTATTACTACCTCACCACCTACCACCACCACCACCACTCTCTCCACCACTATTACTACCGCACCACCACCACTCTCTCCACCACTATTACTACCGCACCACCACCACTCACTCCACCACTATTACTACCTCACCACCACCACCACTCTCTTAACTCCTTTCCTCCAACCTATCCCAAGGAAGATCTCACACACTCTCGGGAGCTTCAACAAGGGTTCACTGGGAGAGGATCACGTAACTTGCACTCATCAGATTCCCTTAGCGGGTCACTTAATCAAACTTTCTCACTCGTGTGCTTTATGGATAGATAGATGGATAGATAGATAGATAGATAGATAGATAGACAAACAGGCAGAAAGACAGACAGATAGTAAAAACTTCAAACAAATTTACATCGATTCAGCATGTATATACAATACAATGTACATAGACCATATACAGCTATACAAACCATATAACTAGACAGTGTAAACACCTTGTCTCTACACCATAAACACTAGTTACTCGATTGTAACATCTTAACATATTAGTAAACATATTCAATTATTTATATAAACATTATCCACTAAATTGGCTATAATGTTAAGGCAAAATGTATAATTCTCCCAAAGTGGTGACGTATTACCATCAGGAATTATTTAAGAAACTGTATGAGCGAAAACTTCATATAAAATAACAATCACTTTTTTTTAGGGGGGGGGTTAAAAACTTTCCGTCAAAGTAGATCATCTGGCTGAACATCTGATTCCAAAGTTTATATTACGAGTGAAAGTTGTTGATGAAGAAAGTTTGTGTGCTGAGCCATACTGTTGATCTTGTTGTATGGGGAGGGGGGGGGATGTGATGTTAGTGTTGTATGGGGAGGCGTTGTATGGGGGTGATGTTAGTAATGTATGAGGGATGATGATGTTAGCAGTGTATGAGGCTACCATGAGTCTGTATGAGGTGACATGAGCATTGTACGGAGCTTCGACGATAACTTAAGTGCTGAGATTGAGAGATCCAGAAACACAGCGTCGTCAAAGAACTATAGTGTCAACACACAGTCGTAAGTGGGTGTAGGGAGGGGGTGCAGGGGGGGAGGTTGGGTTAGAAAGGGGGGGGGAGGTGTGGAGGGGGTGAAGGAGGTGAAATAACGCAACACTCCTCAAGATGAGGTCGGTCTTACCAGAATCCAATCTGTAATGGAACCCAAGGCATATAAGAACACCTCTGATACACTCTCTTAGTCTCGGCATGACCTCGTACAGTGGGGAAAAAAGTGAAGCTTTAGAATCAGTAAGGAGGAGGAAAGAAATAAGCTCTACCAAACAAGGTCAGGTCAGGTCAGGTCAGGTAATACTGACTCGTACCTAGGGTTGGGAATTTAAGCAAGAGCGAATTTTATAAAAGTGAACTTTAGATTCAATTATACAAACAGACTTGCTACTCATTTTGTGTAAGTCGCCCTCCGAGCCACGGTAGTTCAAGAAGCCATAACTCTATATAATTACCACAGAAAAAGTTAATTATCGAAGTGACTTGAGGATATCAATGTGAAATATTAATAAACAGAATGAGGATAAAA